CATCCATCCATTCATATATCCATCCATCCATCCATCCATCCATCCATCCATCCATCCATCCATCCATCCATATATCCATCCATCCATCCATCCATCTATCCATCCATCCATCCATCCATCCATCCAACAAATATTTACTCAGTAGCTGCTGTATGCCAGGATTGCTGCTGTTCTTACCAGCCCTGCCCACACCCTTATCCTCAGATGAACCGATCATTTCCTCCTTATGATATGATTGTGCCTTTTTTGAATCTTTCTTAGCACTCACCAGAATCTGTGGTATCATTTGTTTACATATATGCTCCCCTACTATGCTGGCTAGCTCCTTAAAAGATGGAACATGTCTTCATTCAGTTGGCAGTCCGAGCCCCAGCACAGAATCTGACACAGGGGCACAGTCATATTTGCTGATGGAGGAGTTTTATTTTCTTAAACCTTGTTGATTTTGGTTGTTGACTGATGCAGAGGTGATGGTCTTTAGAAGGAGGTTCTACTTTTTTGCAAGTCTAAGATGTGAATCTCACAGTCTGGGACAGGCTCATGTTCTAGCAAGTCTTCGTGCAACCCCTCCTTGTTATCCTTCTGCCATCATGCAGGAAAGGAGGGGGCTGTGAAACTAAAATAATTAAAAGGACACCATAAAATTCTGTAGAGAGATTTCAGGGGACCTCCAGGAGTGATAAAGGTGCTTTGCAATAGGTTTTATTTCATCCCTTTTTGAAGCAGGTAAGTGGAGAGGGGAAGAAAGAGGCTCTGAGATCACAGAGGAGTGATTCTAAGAGAGATGTGCTTTTGGCATCAGTATTTGGAGGGACAGGTTTTTGAGAAAGTGTTCTGTAATGCAGATTCCTAAGATGTGAACTGTAAACCTGTAGTAGAAACTGTAAAAACTTAATGTGAGAATCACAAGGATGAGTCAGCCTTCAAAGTCAACTATTAAAATGTGAGAAAGCAGCCTTAGGACTCATGAGAGGACAAACTGAGAAGCAGAAAATGTGCAGCAAGATCTCGACACCTGTGGCTGCTTGGAATCATGTGGCATTAAACCCACACATCGTGGTCTACTGGAAATGTGCTTTTTCCTAGTAACTGAAAAAACATACACTGTGGAAATATGGTTTTGGCATTATACTTGATTTGAGAGTGAAATATTTTGTGTGAGCATCAGATGAATGGCCTCTTTTGTATTACCACTTGATGGGCATTTTATTTCATTACTGCTGACACGATGCTGGGCCGGGTGTGGTGACTCACGCCTGTAATCCCAGCACTTTGGGAGGCTGAGGCGGGCGGATCACGAGGTCAGGGGTTCAAGACCACTCTGACCAACACAATGAAACCCTGTCTCTACTAAAATTACTAAAAATTAGCTGGATGTGGTGGCAGGCACTTGTAATCTCAGCTACTTGGGAGGCTGAGGCAGGAGAATCGCTTGAACCCGGGAGGCGAAGGTTGCTGTGACTGAGATTGTGCCAGTACACTCCGGCCTGGGCAACAATGTAAGACTCCATCTCAAAAAAACAAAACAAAACAAAACAAAACAAAACAAAAACAAAAGAAAATACACAATGCTTAGGATGACAAACGTAGCCACTTGCTGGTGCTCCAAAAATGTTTAGGGAGGTTAGATTGAGACTTCATGTGCCCAGACTATCAATGACTATTGATATTAATCCTTTTAACAATAGTTGTTAGGCATGCCCAGGGCCAAGCACTAGAGACCCACTGGGTAACCAGGAGAATAAGATCCTCACCTTCTGGAGCCCCATCATCTTTCCTGAGTTTTTCATCGTCAGGCCTGGACTCCTGCCCTCTTGGGAGCAGGTGCTGATTTGAAGTTTAAGTAGTGACTTCACCTTGATCCCTGGTTTCCATTTCTCTTTCCAGAAGTGCTTTCTTTATAACTTAATAAAAATAAGCAGGTGGATAGCATTGCCCTTCACCTACCTGCATTAACCTGGGTCAGTTCCCTGTTTATCCTGGAATTGCTAATCTAGATGGAATATTTCTTCTTGGCCTTCTATAAAAACTGGGAACCTCTGAGATGTGCTTTTCCCCCACAAAGATGTTTATTTTATAGGTTGCATTTTAATTATCTTTTGTTTTCTTTTCAGAAGGTAAGAGGGGCGTCTGGTGGAGCGTTACCGAAAAGGAGGAATTCCAAGATTTTTTTAGGTAAATAGTAGCATGCTCAGATTTTGTGTTTGTGTGCGTGTGTGTGTCATACTCATGTGCATCTTTGATTTGGAGTAATAGGTTGTTTATTGCTGTACAATTTAAGGATGAGAGGCACAAATTTAAAGGCCTGCCTCCACTCTGCATTTACCTACCAGCGAAGTGTGCTTTTAGCCCTCTTAGTCGGGTTTAGTGCTTTGAAGCAATTATACTTACAGTGACTACACAGTAATTATAATTCTGCTTCAGGTCTGTTTATTGCTTACTTTATTTTTAGTTTTTGAAACAGGGTCTGGCTCTCTTGCCCAGGCTGGAGTGCAGTGGCGCCATCTTGGCTCAATGCAACCTGCACCTCCTGGGCTCAAGCCCTTCTCCTAGCTCAGCCTCCCAAGTAGCTGAGACCACAGGCACACATCACCATGACTGGCTAATTTTTTGTGCTTTTTGTAGAGACGGAGTTTCACCATGTTGCCCTGGCTGGTCTTGAACTCCTGAGCTCAAGCGATCCAGCTGCCTTGGTTGGGATATCAGGCGTGAACCACTGCGCCCGGCCAATTTTTTGCTGACTTTAAATAGCTGGCTCTTGCAGTGGCTCACGCCTGTATTCCCAGCACTTTGGGAGGCTGAGGCTGGAGGATTGCTTGTACCCAGGAGTTTGAGATCAGCTTGGGTAACATAAAAAGGCCTTGTCCTTACCAAAAAATTAAAAAATTAGCGGGGTGTGGTGGTGTGTGTCTGTAGCCTCAGTGACTTGGGAGGCTGAGGCAGGAGGATCACTTAAGCCCAGACAGTTGAGGCTGTAGTGAGCTTGACACTGCACTCCAGCCTCAGTGACAGAGTGGGACCCTGTCAATTTTTTTCTTTTTCTTTTTAAAATTAGCCAAACTACAGACTTCATTCAGATTTCATAATTTTTCTCCCACTCATGTCCTTTCTTCGTTACAAGATACAATCCAGGGTTCCGCATTGTGTTTAGTTGTCATGATTGTTTAATCCTTTCCAGACTCTGATCGTTCTTCAGTTTTTCTTTGTCTTTAATAATTGTGAGACTTTTGAAGAGTGCTGGTCAGTTATTTTGTGGAATAGACCTCAGTTTGGTTTTATCTGATGTTTTCTCATGAAAAATGTGGTGTTATGCATTTTTGGAAAGAATCCTACAGAGGTAGCGTGCCCTTCTTAGTGCATGGTATTGGGGTATATGGTGTTGACATGTTGTCATACTGGTGATGTTGAACTTGATCATTGTTAAGGTAGTGTCTGCTGCCCTTCTTCACTGTAAAGTTATAGTGTAATTAAGAAATATTTTGAGAGTGATACTTTGAGACGGTGCTAAATATCTTGTTTCTCCTTAAAGTTTTGCTCACTAATTTTAGCATCAGTGGACCTTGCCTGCAATAATTATGACTCTAGTGTTTGACTAATGGTGATTTGAAAATTTCCCTTATTCAGAAGGGCCAGTTTTGTTTATGCAAATGACTACTGATTTCTATATCATATAATTATGGTTATATTAAGCTTCTGATATGGTTTTCTCAAGCGAAAAAGTGGTTTGATAATATTTGACCGAACAAGTTTATATGCCTAAATGTCTCAGATTATTGTTTGAAAGGATTTGCAAAATTGTTTCCATAGTATGATTTCATTTTTGTAAAAAAATTCTATACATACATACACATATGTATATACAGATATAGATATGTATATGTATATATGCATGCATGTATGAATGTATATCTGTGTGTGTGCACACACTTCTACACATATATACACATGTGTACATATATAACTGGAAGATCAGAAGAGTCTGGAAGAATACTCCAAACTGTTAATAGTAGCTCTTTCCCAGTAATAGGATGGAAGTGATTCCAATTTTCATCTTTTTGCTTCTCTGTATTTAAACTTTCTCTATAACAAAGATGCTATTGTGATGAAAACACACATTAATTATTTGAAAAGTAAAGCCATTGAAAACTGCTGTGGAGCTGAGTTTCTTTCCTGGTTTGATTCTCAGTTACTCTGTGTTGGATCCAAACTTGCTGTCTTCTCCTGCTTCTCAGCTCATGCTTTTCTGTACAAGGCTTATCTGCATTTGGTTCTTCTACCTTGGCCAGTCTTCTTTACTTCTCAACCTGCCTTTGGACCACAACCCAATTTAACCAACCAAACCCAAACCAGGCTAGCATGAACCCCAAAGCTGAAGTTATGAATATCTTCTGATGCTTTGGTTATTAGTCTTCCAGCACCTTTGCACTAATATAGATCATATGATTTTGTTTAGATCATATGATTTCATTTGAATTAAGTGACGTCAGCAGGTTCGGCTTGAAGGCAGAACTAACTAAACATTTTGACTTACCATTGTTAATTTTTATTATTTTCTTTGGTGGAATGAAGAAGTTATCTGACCTTGACCTTTAACTTTTGTGTCTTCTTTTCATAAGACCTGGAGTTTTGATTTTTTTTCTAGTGATTATTTTGGTTGTAGAGGATATTGTTATGAAACAGTTTTAGAAGTTAATTTGAAAGTTAGCACTGAGGTTTTGTGCTTCAAACTGTGTGGACCCCTTCCTTCCATTCTTCCGCAGGGGACTACCTACCATTTTGTTTCAGTGAGGCTTTTTCTACGGGTTATTCTCTGTGTTCAGGCAAGATTTCATATCTTAGAAAACCACAAGGTGCATCTAGAACTCACGGCCCCAAAAAATTGTTCTATGACTATATTAATTTAAAAAAGAATGCCATTAGCCCCAGATTCCATTTCTCCCTGCTGTTTTATATCCAGGTTCTTTACAAATTTACCTCCTTCATCCCAATAGGAGTTCTTTCTTTTTCTTTTCTTTTTTTTTTTGAGACAGGAACTCATTCTGTTGCCCAGGCTGGAGTGCAGTGCACAATCATATCTCACTGCAGCCTCAACCTGCCAGGCTCAAGTGGTCCTCATGCCTCAGCCTCCCAAGTAGCTGGGACTACAGGCATACACCACCACACATGTTTAATTAAAAAAAATTTTTTTTTAAAGTGATGGGGTCTCACTGTGTTGCCCAGGCTGGACTTGAACTTCTGTGCTCAAACAATCTTCCAACCTCAGTCTCCCGAAGTGCTGGGATTACATGTGTGAGCTGCTGTGCCTGGCCAGGAAGTTATTTTTTACAGGAATTCATTCTTTGCAAGTTCTGATTTAAAGCCCCCTCAACTGGTGCTTGTTGTCTCCTAGGAACAGGTACTTTTATCTTGACATATTGGTCCCAGCCCTCTGAGTTGATGTGACCTGTAAATTAATTTCAGTGATGGGCTGTGTATTAGGGTTACATCTGGTTTACATAACAGTAAATTTAAAACACTGGTAACTTTGTTTATTTATTTACTTATTTGAGCTGGAGTCTGGCTCTGTCACCCAGGCTGGAGTGCAGTGGCGCGATCTCAGCTCACTACAACCTCCGCCTCCTGAGTTCAAGCAATTCTCCTGCCTCAGCCTCCCAAGTAGCTGGGATTACAGGTGCCCACCACCATGCCCGGCTAATTTTTGTATTTTTTTTTTTTTTTAGTAGAGATGAGATTTCACCATGTTGGCCAGGCTGGTCTCGAACTCCTGATCTCAGGTGGTCCGCCCACCTTAGCCTGCCAAAGTGCTGGGATTACAGGCATGAGTCACCGCACCTGGCCTATTTATTTATTTTTGAGACAGGGTCTCACTGTGTCACTCAGGCTGGAATGCAGTGGCACAATCGTGGTCACTGCACACTCAGCCTCCTGCAGGGCTCAAGTGATCCTCCCACCTCAGCCTCCCAAGTAGCTGGAACCACAGGCATGCACCACCACACCTGACTAATTTTTGTATTTTTCTGTGGAGACAGGGTTCTGCCATGTTGCCCAGGCTGGTCTCAAACTGCTGGGCTCAAGTGATCTGCCTGCCTTGGCCTCCCAGAAGGCTGGGATTACCGGCCACTGAGCCCCAGCCGATTCTGGTACTTTAAGCAAGATAGATGCTTATTTTGCTGTCATGTAGAGGATGCTGGGAAACAGTAAGTGTGGTGATGTGATGGCCTCATGTTCACCAGGGAGCTAGGCTCTTACCATATTCCTGCTTAACCCTCCATCCTGGCCCATGATTTCCAACCTCATCATCACCTTACGGTCCATAACGGCTACTGGAACTCCAACCATCACATCCTGATTCTGGAAAGCATGAAAGAGGAAAGGGGAGGCTGGGCGCGATGGCTCAGGCATATAATCCCAGCACTTTGGGAGGCCGAGGCGGGTGGATCACCTGAGGTCAGGAGTTTGGCAGCTTGGCCAACGTGGTGAAACCCTGTCTCTACTAAAAATATAAAAAATTAGCCGGGCATGGTGGCACATGACTGTAACCCCAGCTACTTGTGAGGCTGAGGCAGGAGAATTGCTTGAACCTGGGAGGCGGAGCTGAGATCGCACCATTGCACTCCAGCCTGGGCAACAAGAGTGAAACTCCATCTCAAAAAAAAAAAAAAGGGAAAAAGAAAGAGAAGAGGAGAAAGAGGAAGGACAAAATAGTCTAATCTCCCAGCAGAATCACCTTGCTTTTGTCAGCCTTCTCACAGAGCCCCCAATCAGTTTACACCTCTCTGTCAGAACTTGGTCACGTGGTCACATCTAGCTCCACAGGAGACTGGAAAATAAAGCCCACCAACTGGCTTCACTGAGTAAAGTTTGGGGTCTCTTATTAGGAAGAAGAGGACAGTGGGTATTGGGAGGCAGCTTGTAGCCTCTGCCACAGACTCTTTCCCTCAAAGGGACGCTGGGATTGTTTCCTCATGGAGAGGAAGATAACTCAGAGCTCTCTTGCAGTTTCTTTGTGATTTTTTGGTTAGGAAGTACTATTTCACTGGTACTGAAATGAAATTACGATGCTTCTTCTTCTGCTTCATGAAACAGATGTAGGTGGCCAGTGCTTTATCTTGGATGAAGGTGTTTTCTTCCCATTCATTTGATGACTTTGTGAATAATTCTTTTTCCATTGGCTC